AAGTGTAAAGAACCCTTCTGGCAATGACAGTGATGAGTGAATGATAGGTGAAAGTTTTCCATTTTTCCCGGCCACCTGCCTTGGTGGGAATCGGCCAGTGTGTAATAAAAAAAAAAAATAAAAAATAAATATATTATATATATATATATATAAAATATATAATAGATATATATATATAAAATATATATATATATATATTAATATATATTATATATAAATATATATATATAATATAATATGATGCCCCATCAGTAAGGGAGCCACCCCAACTATGCGAGATCTGATGGCAGCCAGAAGCGTCCCAGATGGTATCACCCGTTCAAGCGCTTGACAGATGGAAGCAGGTGGTGTTTGACTATACATGTGCATCCTACACTTGGCCTGATGACCTATCTCCAATACACCAGGAGGAAGGAGGGTCAGCTGCAGCTTCAGGGAGTCCCAAAAGTCTAGAAAAATGGAGAACTTGCCCATCATTATATGTTTTTGTTTCCATAGGCTCAGAGACCCTTGGTGCCATGGGGGAAAGAGTGCATCACAATTCCTATGTAGCTGGGACAAAGACTCATCAGGGTAACTAGGGATCCCAGGGCAGCTTGTTTTCTGTTCCAGCGGCTCAGTGCAAGCTGTTCAAAGGGGTGAAGTCCTGCTGTATTTTGGCACACGCCCCAGCTCTGAGGAGCTGGATGATATTTTCACCTTATAATCGGTATACACACGAGTAACAACATGTACCGTATATGCCACCTTTATATCAATAGATGTATCTCTTAAATCTTCTTACCATATTATGTAAAAAAATATTCTATTAGAAAAAAATAATATAGACAAGATGTGGTGGTAGGTAAGTGGAATATTCACACGCTTTCAGAAGAAATCAAATATTTTTCCTGAGCCTTTTTTATCCACTTCTCCGAGGCTATGGGTCCCCACAATTACACCCGAGTTGACCCCATCTATATATATATATAGAATATATATATATATATGTATATATATATATATATTATATATATAATATAATATATATATATATATATATATATATGTAATATATATATATATATAATATATATATATATATAATATATATATATATATGTAAATATATATATATATATATATATATATATATATATATATATAAATAATAGTGATATATATATATATATATATATATAAATATTTATTTTTTATAATCACATACCGGCCTGATTCCCACCAAGCAGGGTGGCCCGAAAGGAGAAAACATTCACCATCATTTTTCACTCCACCACTGTCTTGCCAGAAGGAGGTGCTTTACACTACAGGTTTTTAAACTGCAACCATTAACACCCACCTTTCAGAGTGCAGGCACTGTACTTCCCATCTCCCAGGACTCAAGTCCGGCCTGCCGGTTTTCCCCCTATCCCTTCATAAAGTTAGCTTTGCTTTCACACTCAACAGCACGTCAAGTATTAAAAACCATTTGTCTCCATTCACTCCTATCAACACGGCTCACGCATGCCTGCCAGGAAGTCCAAGCCCCCACACACACAAACCTCCTTTACCCCCTCCCTCCAACCCTTCTCCTAGGCCGACCGCCTACCCCGCCTTCCTTCCACTACAGACGATTCACTCTTGAAGTCATCTTTTCGCTCCATTCTCCTCTACATGACCAACCACCTCAACAACCCTTCCTCAGCCCTCTGACAACAGTTTTGGTAATCCCGCACCCCTCATCCTAACTCAAACTACGAATTCTCTGCATTAATATCACAGGCCCCCCGGGGGGGGGGGGGGGGGCCCACACATTGCCCTCAGACATGACATCTCCACTGCCTCCCAGCCTTCTCCTCGCTGCAACATTCATCACCCACGTTCCAACAGCCCATAAAAGAGCGTTTGGTAAAACTATACTTCTCATACATTCCCTCTTTGCCTCCAAGGTCAAATCTTTGTTCCATAAGGGAGGAGGGAAGGCAAGACTCCTAAGTGCACACTCACTCTTTTTCCCTCATCAATTCCTATGATCACCTCATCTTTCATAGAACCCATCCGCTGACACGTCCACGTCCAAATATCTGAATACGATCACACACCTCCATACTCTCTCCCGTCCAATCTGATTTCAAATCTTTCCAATCACCTAATCTTTTTGTATCCGCATAACTTAACTCTTTCCTGTGATCACCTTTTAAATTTTCTTCTATTTGCACACCCTACCAAATTCCATCCACCAATCTCTGCAACTTTCTCTTCAGAAATTCTCCCAAGAGCACAGTGTCATCCACAAAGAAGGCACTGTGACAACTCCCCCTTTGTTGTTATATTCTTTATCTTTAACTCCACGCCTCATTGCCAAAACCCTCGCATTTACTTCTCTTACATACCCCATCTATAAATATATAAAACAACCACGTGTGACCACACACATTCCTCCTTGTCTAAGGCCTACTTTTACTGGGAAAAAATTTCCCTCTGCTCCTACATACTCTAACTTGAAGCCTCACTAGCCCTCGTAAAAACTCTCACTGCTTTCAGTAACCTACCTCCTACAACCATACACTTTGCAACATCCTGCCACATTGCCCCCCTATACACCCTGCATACGCCTTTTTCCAAATCCCTAAATGCCACAAAAGAGACTCTTTAGAGCCTTATTTAAATACTGTTCACTTATATGTTTCACTGTAAACACCTGGTCCTCACACCCCCTACCTATCGCTAAATGCCTCTTGTTCATCTGCTATCCTATTCTCCGTCGTACCCTTAATCTTTCATTATAACTCTGACCATACACTTTACCAGGTACACACAACAGACTATCCCCCTATAATTTTTGCACCTCCTCTTTTATCCCCTTTGCCTTTATACAAAGTGAACTATGCATGCTCTCTGCCAATCCCTAGGTACCCTTACCCTCTTCCATACATTTATTAAATAATTGCAACCAACCACTCCAAAACTATATCCCCACCTGCTTTTAACATTTCTATCTTATCCATCAATCCCGCTGCCTTACCCCCTTTCATTTTACCTACTGCCTCACGAACATATCCCCCACACTCAACAACAGGCTCTTCCTCACTCCTACAAGAGTAAATCCTCTTGCCCTATACACGAAATCAAGCTTCCCCTATCTTCATCAACATTTAACAATTCCTCAAAATATCTTCCATCATCCAAAACCTCTAACTCTCCATTTTAAAACTCTCCTACTCCTATTTATTTAACTGACAAATCCATTTGTTCTCTAGCTTTTCTTAACTTGTTAATCTCACTCCAAAACTTTTTCTTATTTCAACAAAATTGTGAGTGATTAACATCTCACCACTCTCTCATTTGCTCTCTTTTTACATCATCACCACTCTCTTAAACTTCTCTCTTTTTCTCCATAACTCTTCCCTCCTAGCATCACTTCTACTTTGTAAAAACTTCTCATATGCTATCTTTTTCTCCCTTACTACTCCCTTTACATCATCATTCCACCAATCGCTCCTCTTCCGCCTGCACCCACTTACCCTGTAACCACAAACTTTCTGCTGAACAATCTAACACTAACATTTTTAAAACCTACCCCATACCTCTTTCACCCCATTGCCTATTCTCTCATTACACATCTATCCTCCAATAGCTGTTTTATCTTACCCTAACTGCCTCCTCTTTTAGTTTAAAACCTTCACCTCTCTCCTTCCCTGATGCTTCTATTCTCCTTGTATCCGCATCTACCTAATTTACTCTCAGTATAGCTACAACTAGAAAGTTGTAACTGATATATCTGTGGCCCTCTATAACATTCCATCCTGAATCTACTCAACAGTCTTTTATCTACCAATACAATAATCCAACAAAACTACTGACATTACGAGCCCACATCATATCGTGTATAACTTATTTATCTCTCTTTTTTCTTAAAATATGTATTACCTATAACTACACCCCTTTCTATACAAAGTTCAATCAAAGGGCTCCCATTGATCATTTACACCTGGCACCCCAAACTTACCTACCACACCCTCTCTAAAAGTTTCTCACTACTTAGCATTCAAGTCCCCTAACCACAATTACTCTCTCACTTGGTCCAAAGGCTCCTATAGCATACACTTAACATCTCCCAAAATCTCTCTCCTCTCTCTCCTCTGCATTCCTCTCTTCTTCCATGTGCCATACACGCTTATTATGACCCACTTCTCGCATCAACCTTTACTTTAATCCACATAATTCTGAAATTACACTTCATATTCTTTTTCTTCCTTCCCCATAAACTGATCATTTAACATTACTGCTACCCCTTCCTTTGCTCTAACTCTCTCAATACTCCAGATTTAATCCCATTTATTCCCCCCACTGAAACTCTCCTACCCCCTACAGCCTTTTGATTCGCTTAGGCCGGACACCAACTTCTTTTCATTCAAAACATCAGCAATCATCTGTTTCTTAGCATCCGCACTACATCCACGCACATTTAAGCAACCCAGTTTTTATAAAGTTTTTCCTTCTTCTTATTTTTAGTAATTGTATACAGGAGAATGGGTTACTAGCCCATTGCTCCCGGATTTAGTCGCCTCATACGACACGCATGGCTCACGGAGGAAAGATTCTTTTCCACTTCCCCATGGACAATAGAAGAAATAAAAAAGAACAAGAGCTATTTAGAAAAAAGAGAAAAACCTAGATGTATGTATATATATATATGCATGTGCGTGTCTGTGAAGTGTGACCAAAGTGTAAGTAGGAGTAGCAAGATATCCCTGTTATCTTAGCGTGTTTTATGAGACAGAAAAAGAAACCAGCAATCCTACCATCATGCAAAACAGTTACAGGTTTTTGTTTTCACAGTCATCTGGCAGGACGGTAGTACTCCCTGGGTGGTTGCTGTCTACCAACCTACTATATATATATATATATATATATATATTATATATATATATATATATATATATATATATATATATATTATAATATATATATATATATATATATATATATATAATATGTATAGTATATATTTCTCTTACCTGTGAAACAGTGCTTGTCGTCTCTTTAGTGGTCAGCCGAACAAAGGAATTCTTGATTAAACGTCGGCTCCTGCATCACCATATCCTACTCCACCACCATATCCTCCTCCACCACCATATCCTCCTCCACCATCATGTGCTCCTCCACCACCATATCCTCCTCCACCACCATATCCTCCTCCTGATCCTCCTCTACCACCATATCCCCCTCCTGATCCTCCCCCACCACCATATCCTCCTCCTGATCCTCCTCTTCCACCAAACGCACCTAATCCTTCGTTACCATCAAATCCTCCTGTTGATCCTCTTCCTGATCCTCCTCCACTACCAAATCCTCCTCCACTACCAAATCCTCCTCCACTACCAAATCCTCCTCCTGATCCTCCTCTTCCACCAAATGCTCCTAATCCTTCATTAGCATCAAATCCTCCTGTTGATCCTCTTCCTGATCCTCCTCCACCACCAAATCCTCCTCCTGATCCTTCATTACCACCAAATCCTCCTGCTGATTCTTCGTTAGCACCAAATCCTCCTGCTGATCCTCCTCCACTACCAAATCTTCCTGCTGATCTTCCACCACTAAAAAATCCTTCTGGTCGTCCTCCACCTCCAAATCCTCTTCCTCCTGATTCTTCACCGCTATTAAATCCTCCCACTGATCCTCCTTCTCCACCAAATCCTCCCCCTGATCCTACTCCACCTCCAAATCCTCCTCCTAATCCTCCACCACTATTGTATCCTCTTACGGATCCTCCTTCTCCACCAAATACTCCTGCACCACCAATCTCTCCTGCTGTTTCTCCTCCACTGATGGCTGGAACGTGTGTGTTTGTACTTGCATCGAGGCTATTTACTCCTTGACTCACACTGCCTCTCTCTTTTCCATTTTCAATTCCCAACCCACTACCTATTCCCTGACCAATCCCCATTCCAAAACCACTTCCTGTTGCAGTATTACTTCCTAAGCCTTCACCAGTTCCCATTCCAGAACCAGTTCTCACACCACTGTCACTTTCTGAACTTTGACCAATTCCCATTCCTAAACCACTTCCAAAACCACTGTCACTTCCTAATCCTCGACCAATTCCCATTCCAAAACCACTTTCCACACCACTACCACTTCCTAAATTTTGATCAATTCCTATTTCTAAGCCACTTCCCACACCACTGTCGCTTCCTGAACCTTGACCAATTCCCAGTCCGAAACCACTTCCTGCCCCACTGTCACTTCCTAATCCTTGGCCAATTCCCATTCCAAAACCACTTCCCACACCACTGCCACTTCCTATTCCTTTGCCGATTCCCATTCCAAAACCACTTCCCATACCACTGTCACTTCCTATTCCTTTACCGATTCCCATTCCAAAACCACTTCCCCCACCACTGTCACTTCCCATTCCTTTACCGATTCCCATTCCAAAACCACTTCCCATACCACTGTCACTTCCAATTCCAGTGCCAATTCCCATCCCTAAACCACTTGCCTTACCCTTGCATTTTTTCTTTCCAGTGCCACTTCCCACACCACTGCCACTTCCCAATCCTTGACCAATTCCCATTCCAAAACCACTTCCTACACCACTGCCACTTCCTATTCCAGAGCCACTTCCCAGACCACTGTCACTTCCTATTCCTTTGCCGATTCCCATTCCAAAACCACTTCCCACACCACTGCCACTTCCTAATCCTTGACCAATTCCCATTCCAAAGCCCTTTATCCCACCAATGTCACTTCCTAATCCTTGATCAATTCCCATTCCTAAGCCACTTTCCACACCACTGCCACTTCCCAATCCTTGACCAATTCCCATTCCTAAGCCACTTCCGACACCAGTGTTACTTCCTGATCCTTGACCAATTCCTTTTTCAAAACCATTTCCAAAACCACTGTCACTTGATGATCCTTGACGAATTCCCATTCCAGAACCACTTCCCACACCACTGTCACTTCCTATTCCTTTGCCGGTTCCCATTCCAAAACCACTTCCTGCCCCACCCTCTCTTGCACTTCCACTCCCTAATCCTTGACCAATTCCCATCCCTATGCCACTTCCGACACCACCGTCACTTCCTATTCCTTTGCCGATTCCCATTCCAAAACCACTTCCTGTCCCGCCATCTCTTGCACTGCCAATCCCTAATCCTTGACCAATTCCCATCCCTAAGCCACTTCCCACACCACTCTCACTTTCTATTCCTTTGCTGATTCCCAGTCCAGACCCACTTCCCACACCATTGTTACTTCCTAAACCTTGACCAATTCCCATTCCAAAACCACTTCCAACACCACTGTCACTTCCTAAACCTTGGCTAATTCCCATTCCCAAACCACTTCCCACACCATTGACACCTCCTAATCCTTGACCAGTTCCCATTCCAAAACCACTTCCAACACCACTGCCACTTCCTAATCCTTGATCAATTCCCATTCCTAAGCCACTTCCGACACCAGTGTTACTTCCTGATCCTTGACCAATTCCCACTCCAAAACCTTCAACACCACTGTCACTTCCTAAACCTTGGCCAATTCCCATTCCAAAACCATTTCTCACACCATTGTCACCTCCTAATCCTTGACCAGTTCCCATTCCAAAACCACTTCCAACACCACTGTCACTTCCTAAACCTTGGCCAATTCCCATTCCCAAGCCACTTCCCACACCATTGTCACCTCCTAATCCTTGACCAATTCCCATCCCAAAGCCACTTCCCATACCACTGTCACTTCCTAATCCTTGACCAATTCCAATTCCAAAACCACTTCCCGTATCTCTGTCACTTCTTAGTCTTTGACCAATTCCCATTGCAGTATCACTTTCAGTTCCTCCCTCACCTTTAATGTCACTTTCTACTCTGTTATATCGCATCCCAAAACCGCTACCTGCACTATTGTCAGTTTCTTCTCCGGTGCCAAATCCAGTTTCAAATTTAATTCCAGTATCCCTTCCACTGCGACTTTCAAAACCTGTGGCAAGTTCTACTCCACTGTCAACCTCCATTCCTGTGTCAGTTGCTTCCATTTCGCTTACAGCAAATGCCTCACGAGAACCGCCACTGAAGCCATTACCAGTCCCAGCATCCCAACCGAACCCTCCTTCAGAGCCTATGCCCAAGTCAACACCAGAACCAACACCATAACCTTGACCAGAACCACTACTTCTACTAGTAGTGCCTCCTTTGCTCCCATCAGAACCACCGTATATGTCATTGTCTGAGCCATCACCGTATGCGCCCCCGAATCCAAAACTAGAATCGCCACCGGTATTAAATGAATATCTATGGTCATCTGGAGATTCAGGATCAATTACTGCAACCACGAGGCGCTCTTGTCTGTCTCCGGAAAGTCCTCGTTGTGTTGCATAGTGAGCATCACCAGTAGTAGCATTTTCTGGAGCGTGGTCAGGGCCGCTGATCTGGTATCTTCCGGCCGCCAGGGCCACCAGGGCCACCAGGACCACCAGGACCACACCCGTGCGCTGAGCATTACGGGGACGCAAGGGAGAAAGAGACATGAGTTAGTACGATTGTACTAGCTACACATTAATGTTGGCCAGTCAAACAATATTAGTCTTATGTCTAGTGTGGGGGATTAAGTAAACTGAGCATTCATTTGTGAGGTGAATAAAATACACAAAATACCTTTGATTATCAGATAATTGAAAAGAGTCCAAACATTAATACCTAATACAAAAGGAAGACTGTAGCGCACCTATTGAACCATTCAGTATAGTTCTATTAACACCTAAATATTATAATTTATTATGTAACTGTTTCAACTGTTTATTAATCTCACCAAACCTAGGCAAGTTAAAGATTTTTCGACTACCCTAGAGTCATCAAGGTCGCAATCTATTTAAACACTATCAAATAGCAAGCCTCGATCATTAGAACAGAAATAAAATAAAATTTTAGAGAATATACAGAGAGATATAAAATTCTATGAGAATATTCTTTTCCTATCAAAGTACTTACTTCAGCGATGTTACTTCACAATTTGACTTTTCTACTAGAAACTTCACAATTACTTACGATGCTGTGATTTCTGTGTGCAACTGTTGTCCTCGTTTTCTTTAAGGTAGTTAGTAATTTAAATGTTCCAGAATAAAAATATCTTCTTCGAATTTTACAATAATCACCAACTTCGATAAAACTGGAACCGACCTCCGCATGAATCAGATACATGATCTATGTCAAGTAAGGCAACAGCGGCACTTCTATGCTTCATGGGATATTGCCCCATTCCAAACTACCATTCTTCCATTTCCCCCCAAACTACTTCTTAAATCACAACCAAAACTTCGCCTTGAAGCCAAACATGATGCCTTAAGCTGTATTAATAACTTAGTCACACAGCACACACTTGCAAATTATTTACGTTGATGGTTCTGTTCACCAATCCACTGGTGCAGCTGGTAGCGCTGCTGTTGTCGTACAGAGTGATGGCTCTCTTAAAGAAATTGGAGCACGCATCAATAATCGGGCCTCTACCCTTCAGACAGAACTGTTTGCCATACTCCTTGCACTGAAATGCATCCATGTATCTAAGATTGACAGTTTAATTGTAACTGATTCTCTGTCACCCATAAATGCTCTCAACTCATTAAGCATAAATTGTGGCATGCTTGTGTCAGAAGCCAGACACAAGTATGGTAAGATTGTGGACAGTGGAGTCAGAGTGCAAATGCTGTGGATTCCATCTCACATTGGTCTTCGAATGCATGATAGAACTGATAAATTAGCTAAGCTGTACGCTTTCAAAGAGGGAGTAGATTACAATCTTGGCTTATCAGGTAGTAGTTTGAGAACAATAATACGAAAAGATCTTCAACTGAATTTTATTGACTTAAGACTTAGGGAGATTGACACAAGTCAGTCCATCTATCATCATTCTATCATGCAGGAGGAGCCACATGTCTATGGTGCATCCAACAAAATAAGCAGACTCTTGGATGTCACTACCGCCCGGCTCCTGCTGGGTTACAAGTATCTTTGGCAGGTTAATTAAATCATCACCACCAGATGTAGACCAAACGAAATGTAAACTTTGCTAGATGGACTATTGTCACACCTTGCGTCATTATGTACTGGAGTGTGATAAAATTAATGAATTTAGAGACAACTCACTCAGAAATGTTCAAGAAATGGCAAAGTATTTTAGCCACAGTGGTATATTACAGACCATTCTGGAGAAATATCCTGACTTTGCTAGCTGTAAATAAAGCATTAATTACCACGTGTGTGTGTATGTGTATGTGTGTGTGTGTGTGTGTGTGTGTGTGTGTGTGTGTGTGTGTGTGTGTGTGTGTGTGTGTGTGTGTGTGTGTGTGTGTGTGTGTGTGTGTGTGTGTGTACTCACCTAATTGTGGTTGCAGGGGTCGATACTAAGCTCTGGTACTCACCTATTTGTACTCACCTATTTGTGGTTGCAGCGGTCGATTCATAGCTACTGGCCCCGCCTGTATGTGTGTGTTTTGTGGTGTGTGTGTGTATGTGAGTGTGTGCCTGTGTGTGTTTGTGTGTGTTTGTTGTTTGTGTGTGGTGTGTGTGTGTGTGTGTGTGTGTGTGTGTGTGTGTGTGTGTGTGTGTGTGTGTGTGTGTGTGTGTGCTTGTACTCACCTATTTGTACTCACCTATTTGTGGTTGCAGGGGTCGAGTCCTAGCTCCTGGCCCCGCCTCTTCACCGGTTGCTACTAGGCCCTCTCTCTCCCCGCTCCATGAGCTTTATCAAACCTCGTCTTAAAACTGTGTATGGTTCCTGCCTCCACTACGTCATTTTCTAGGCTATTCCACTGCCTTACAACTCTATGACTGAAGAAATACTTCCTACTATCTCTCTGACTCATTTGTGTCTTCAACTTCCAATTGTGGCCTCTTGTTTCTGTGTCCCCTCCCTGGAACATCCTGTCCTTGTCCACCTTGTCTATTCCACGCAGTATTTTATATGTCGTTATCATGTCTCCCCCGACCCTCCTGTCCTCCAGTGTCGTCAGGCCGATTTCCCTTAATCTTTCTTCATAGGACATTCCCCTTAGCTCTGGAACTAACCTTGTTGCAAACCTTTGTACTTTCTCTAGTTTCTTGACGTGCTTTATCAAGTGCGGGTTCCAAACAGGTGCTGCATACTCCAGTATGGGCCTGACATACACGGTGTACAGTGTCTTGAATGATTCCTTACTAAGGTATCGGAATGCTGTTCTCAGGTTTGCCAGGCGCCCATATGCTGCAGCAGTTATCTGATTGATGTGTGCTTCCGGAGACATGCTCGGTGTTATACTCACCCAAGATCTTTCTCCTTGAGTGAGGTTTGCAGTCTTTGGCCACCTAGCCTATACTCTGTCTGTGGTCTTCTGTGCCCTTCCCCCATCTTCATGACTTTGCATTTGGCAGGATTAAATTCGAGAAGCCATTTGCTGGGCCAAAGGTTTTCCCAGTCTGTCCCGGTCTCTTAAGTCCTGCCTGGGCCTCAACAGATTTAATTCTCCCATTAAATTTTACAAACATCTTTCAAACAGGGAAAACTTCTGAGTCTAACCCTTCCGTCATTTTCGTTTTACTATAAACCCAAAAAAAGACTTTTCCTAGGACCGACCCCGTGGGACCCCCTCGTCACAGGTGCCCACGTGGGTACCCTCATTAAAGTTCCAGCCCCGTTTTGGGCCGTCCCGTCAGGTATTCTCTGAACCCTTGCATGCCCTTCCTTTTTTATTTCCCTGATGCTCTAGCTTCTGCACTAATCTCTTGTGAGGAACTGTGTCAAAGGCCTTCTTGCAGTCCAAGAAGATGCAATCAACCCACCCCTGTGTGTGTGGTGTGTGTGTGTGTGTGTGTGTGTGGTGTGTGTGTATGAGTGTGTGTGTGTGTGTGTGTGTGTGTGTGTGTGTGTGTGGTGTGTGTGTGTGTGTGTGTGTGTGTGTGTGTGTGTGTGTCTCAACAATCAATATTTGCACCAATAACTCATTACAGTTGTGACCGGGTGTGGAAGTGTGAATTGCTCATTACACTATAATTTGTTCATGATTGTAGCCATGTATAAACGTAAGTAACCATTCTTACAGAATTCATTACCTTTGTAACTTGTGAGCTCATTACCTTTGTACCTAGTTCAGCTATCAAAACTTTGGGGGCCCAGTCCCTGGACCCATTACGTACCTCTGTAATCTGTAAATACCTTCGTAACTTTTCATGATTGTGACCAGACCGACCTGGAGTTCATTACCTTTGTAAATTGTGAGTTCATTACCTTTGTAATTGTGAGTTCATTACCTTTGTAAATTGTGAGTTCATTACCTTTGTAATTGTGAGTTCATTACCTTTGTAAATTGTGAGTTCATTATCTCTGTAACTTGCTCAGCTATCAAAACTTTGGAGTCCAGTCCCTGGACCAATTATGTACCTCTGTAATCTTTTGACTACCGCCCACAGGATGGGTATGGGGTGACTACCGCCCACAGGATGGGTATGGGGTGACTACCGCCCACAGGATGGGTATGGGGTGGCTACCGCCCACAGGATGGGTATGGGGTGGCTACCGCCCACAGGATGGGTATGGGGTGACTACCGCCCACAGGATGGGTATGGGGTGACTATCGTCCACAGGATGGGTATGGGGTGACTACCGCCCACAGGATGGGTATGGGGTGGCTGCCGCACACAGGATGGGTATGAGGTGACTACCGCCCACAGGATGGGTATGGGGTGACTACCGCCCACAGGATGGGTATGGGGTGACTACCGCCCACAGGATGGATATGGGGTGACTACCGCCTACAGGATGGGTATGGGGTGGCTACCGCCCACAGGATGGGTATGGGTGGCTACCGCCCACAGGACGGGTATGGGGTGACTACCGCCTACAGTATGGGTATGGGGTGGCTACCGCCCACAGGATGGGTATGGGGTGACTACCGCCCACAAGATGGGTATGGGGAGACTACCGCCCACAGGATGGATATGGGGTGACTACCGCCTACAGGATGGGTATGGGGTGGCTACCGCCCACAGGATGGGTATGGGTGGCTACCGCCCAAAGGATGGGTATGGGGTGACTACTGCCCACAGTATGGGTATGGGGTGGCTACCGCCCACAGGATGGGTATGGGGTGACTACGGCCCACAGGATGGGTATGGGGTGACTACCGCCCACAAGATGGGTATGGGGTGACTACCGCCTACAGGATGGGTATGGGGTGACTACCGCCCACAGGATGGGTATGGGGTGACTACCGCCCACAGGATGGGTATAGAGTGACTACCGCCCACAGGATGAGTATGGGGTGACTACCGCACACAGGATGGGTATGGGGTGGCTACCGCCCACAGGATAGGTATGCGGTGGCTACCGCCCACAGGATGGGTATGGGGTGACTACCGCCCACAGGATGGGTATCGGGTGGCTTCCGCCCACAGGATGGGAATGGGGTGGCTACCGCCCACAGGATGGGTATGGGGTGGCTACCGCCCACAGGATGTGTATGGG